TTTTCTTCTCCAAAAGTTTTTCCTTCTCTTTGGCTTCCTACTAATTTTGAGAAGGAATCCAGGCTCTTTCTTTGGTGCAAATATTTACTAATATAGAGGCTGAATTAACCTGGGGTAACATATCCATTATTGGAAAAATAATTAGGATAGATTTTAAAAAAGTATTTTTATAATTTTATAGAAGCTGACAAATATACCTTTCTCATGACTTTGCAGTATTTGATGCTTTTGACCAATTCTTATTTCTAAGCATTCCCCTCCCTGAGCTTTTATCTAGATTGTCCTGTTCCTCTCCCCCTGCCCCTGGCCTTGGCCATTGCCCAGAGCTTTGTGCTTGGCCTCTCCTTAACAACGCTTCCTCCCCGTTGGAGTCCATCTGGACAGGCTGAGTTATCACCCTTGTGACCCTCGTTCTGATCACCCTGGTTGGCAGGTCCCTCACCCCTCCAATAACCACTTCTATCTGAGTAGCCAATTTGTACTTCAAATACAACAGAGTTAATGCAGTTATCTTTCCATGAAAAATTTTCTCCTGGAAATGTTCTTTTTTAGTTTGTGGGACCATTGTTTTCTAGATGGCCAGTACTGAAAGTTTGTAGTCAGTTTATTGGTCCATGCACCCACCGTTCATCAGTAGTTTAATGGTAGTTCCCATATAGTCATACTGTGTGCCTGTGGGTATATAGTATAGTAAAGTTACTTCCGTTGTGGGACAGGAATGAGCAGTGGGTGGCACCTCCCTCGTCTTGCACCTCTTTGCTGTGTGCCTGAGATTAGATACATGAGGTTCTAAATGACTGTAAAGCCCACACTTAATTTTTTTGTTAACTTACCCTCTTTAGAGTACATCATTAAACACAATACTTTGTGTCTCAAAAGAGAAAATGGGCACATTACATTGACTCTCTATATTGTGTATATCCTGAATGACTCTTGGATCCAGAAACCTTGTTAAAGGCAGTGTATTTAAAAATTTCCAATGACATAAATCCTAAAGGAATAAACTAAATTTCCTTTGCTTATTAACTGTAATATTAGTCCTCTCAATCTTAGACAATTCCCTTTTACAAAGTGCAAATTACTCTGAGATCTTTATTACAATATTTGAGTTTGTTTTTTTCAGCTAAATTGAATAAATGTTATTTTTGCTTTTTAAAGCCTTATTATATTACCTAGGTTCACCAATCAAATTCATTGCTTTTTCCATATACTGCTGTAATCCAAAATAAAATCTAATATGATATTCTGTGCCCTATGTATATGTTTAGGAAACAAATATTATTTTAAACACGTAATGAACAGCTGCTAAGTCATAGCACATTTCAATTTATGAAAAATGAATGGCTTATATGCATTTTTATGTTTATGGTACTTTATCAAGGTGTAGTTGACTCACAGGAAAATGGACAATTCCTAAATGTATGTCACACTGAATTGTGACAGATGTATATACCCATGTAGCTGCCCCCTAGATCAAGATAACCTTCCCATTACCCCTGAGAATTGCCTCATGCCCAATCACCCAGCTCACCATGAGGCAAGCACAGATTTTCCTTTTATTGCCATAGATTTAAGTTGTAGTTTCTTGAGCTTTGTGTAAATGGACTCATCCAGCACTTTTGTTTTTGCGTAATGGTTTTGAGATTGACCCATTTGGTCCTGTATATCATTTCATTCTTATTGTGGAAGAGTATGCCCTTGGGTGAACATAAAACCAATATGACTTCTAAATTCTAACCTTTTTTTTTATATAAACCCTCCAATTTAACTATAATACATATAAGTTAAAAGTTTCTATCTCTAGGGAAAAAAATAGCAAATTTTTATTTTCAAATTTATAAGTGATTTTTTTTTGTTAGAAAATCATCTCTTCTGTTTCATAAACTGCTCTTGAATTTGTACAAAATATCTTCAGATCTTTTTTTGGTTTGTTTGCTCCTACTGACAATAGCTAAGATTCAATGAATGATTCCTAAGCAGTATGCTCTATGCCAAATTCTCCATGTGAATTACTTTTTGAATTCCTACCAACAACCATATAAAGTAGGTATCATTAGTTTAGAAATAGGTTTTGTAACTTACCCAAGGCCACGCAGCTAGGAAGAGATGGAGCTGGAATTCAAACCCATGAGCCCTTAATCACCTTCTCACATTCTCTAGCATGATGATATTCATTAAAATGGCCACATTTACAGTCATTTGGGTTTGCTAAGATCAATCCTTCAGATTTTGGAGATGTATGTGATAATTCACATGGACTCCTCATATCAGGGCAGAAATTAGCTTGGGCTACCCGAATCAAAATAGCAGAAGCCAGCGCTACTGAAAAATCTGATTGCTTCACTTACTTTTGGTAGGCACCACAGTTCTGTAGGTGGCAAGGAGCCTTGGAAAAATATTGCTTCTCTTACTCATTAGATGGTTTTATACATGATGGATTAGGAATCCCAGTAAGTCTTGAGCATAATTTGACATTTATGGGGCATGGTATGCCAGGTACTGTGATAAGTATTTTATAGGTATTATCTCATTTAATTCTCCCACTAACTCTACAAGATATGTTTAAAATTACTTAAGGGCATACTTGTGGATACTTCTCATAGGTGGTTAAGAATATAGATTGAGGTCTCAAAAAAGAAGTCATAGTTAGGGATGCAGATTTTCAAATCATAAAAATAATTTTTTTACATCTTTTTGAAATCTGTAGTCTGCTCCTTATATTGTATCTTAAAATGAAGAAAAAAGGACAAGTGGGCTTCTAGGGTCAAATGCCAAGATATATAACATACAGTGCATTTGGTACAAATTAAGATTATTTAAGCTCTAAACCAGTTGGAAAGAGTGAATCCTCAAAGAATCACAATGAAAACTGTAACACAAATGGAATTGTATTTTAACTCCCCCCCACCTTTTGACAGTACCTCCTGCACACAGATCTGGGGTGTCTTTTCCTAGATATTTGCTTATAATAAGAACTAGGGGTTGTAGCATAGCATTGCCACTTCTGATGCCAGCAGAAATAAGTGCATTTAGGATAAACAAATTTAGTTTCCAGAATAAAATTGCTTAGCTCATTGGCTGTTATGAAATGGTCTAGCTATGTATATCTAGTTGTGTATATATGTAGTTATGTAAACACCTACTTACAATTTTCCTAAGTCACTTGATGATGTAAATTTTGAAAAAAAATCTGCTTTGGAAATTTTATGGAATCTGTTTGGGCTTCAAGCAAAGTTTTGTGGTAATATATTAGACTCAGTGCAGTGACAGTTGGTATATTTTTGCCAAGAATTTTTTGTTAAAGCATGTGCACATATCTGAATTACATATATAGATAATTCATCTACATGAAATATTTTTCATAAATAGTAATCTACTTTTAAGTGATAGAAAAACACATGTTCATATCTGTATATGAGTGAGGATAATTTATTTATAAATCAAAGACCGTAACATTTATTTCTTTAGAAATAGTCTCACCTCAAGAATATCTGTCTTTTAAAAATAGGTAACATTTCAGGACAAAATAAAGCAAATGTACAATAGAATTAAATAACTTTCCATTTTCATTCAAATGAGAATACAAATGCTTTGCTAGTAAGAATATTATTATTGGAGGAGTCTTCTTCAAAATAGCGACCAGCACTTATATTACCCATTATTTATTGAGTTGAGATCTGTATTTTGCAGAAATTTTGTGTTAAAAACTATCTGCAGAACAAGGGAAATGCTGTGTTTGCTGCTGAGAAACTCCTAACCTTGCTTGTGAATGAGAAATAACAGTTGTTGCCATGACTCCTGTAGAACAGTGCCTATCCCCAATAAAGGTGTTTATTTCTAGAACTTAAAAGCTGGTAGTAAGAGGGCTGCTCTCCTTGGGACTGTTACTTTAAAGCATGTTATCTGTAAGTTCAGCTGGAAATAAAATTTATTTTGATTAGAAAATGTATTATCAAGTGGTCAACAAACGCTTCTTTTATTGGCCTCCATGCTAACATAAAACAGTTTCAAAATAAAATATTTTTGTTGGCTCTGTTTCTGTGATTCATGTATTTTTTCCCACCTTTTTCTGTGTCAAAAGAGAAAAGACATACCATACTGTTTTCCAGGAAATTTTCTTAGGGGCACTATTTAAAAAACATCCATAAACTAAAATGCTTTCTAAGATAATTGTACATTTTGTATTTTTTATATTGACTTTAGTGAATAGCCACTTATGTGGTTATGAAACATATGGCATATATTTCTTAGCTACATAATCTACAAACAATATAGTAATCTACTCTCTCCAAGATGTTAAATGATTTATCTGTACATGAAACATTTTGAGATAATTAAAACTTTTATTACATGCACCTGTATTGCTTATAAAATGTGTTTTGGCCACTACTCACCAGAAGTTGAAAAATCATGGACCTTCTCTCATTTCAAAATAGGCATGTAATAATTTCCTCTGATAAGCATACAAATGCCATTGAATGAATTAACTGTTATTCTCCCTACAGAAGGGGCCTCTCTCCTAAGATCACGGGGTTGTAGTAATACCTGCTTATTGCACTGAGTTGCTTTTAGATCCAGGAAGTCGTGTTTGGAGGAGTGCTGGGTGATCTGTAAAATGCATGTGAACGTAGATGGTACTGTTCGGGGATAAACCTGAGCACACACAGATCACCTCTCAGCAGACCTTGGTTCACTTCCCTGACCCTAAGCATGTTTCTTGCAGGATTCAGGAGCCATGCTCCATTCATTCATGGTGGTGAGCAGTGTTTCCTCAGGTTTTGTGGTTTGTTTGTGGAGAGTAGGAGTTTATGAGCATACTGACACTGAATAAGAAGCTATATGGATGGAATAAACATGAATGTAGTTCCTGGAGAGAGAGATCAGACATAAAGAATTGCTAAAAGCTTCCTTGCCACCAAATTTGGATCTAATCTTACAAAAAGTGCATAGACAAAGCTAATGCTGAAATTTTGCTTATAGTTAAAATGTTTATTTTTCAGTACGCTGCAAATGTAAGCCTATTAGAGCTTCACAGAAGACCTATTTCCGAAACAATTACAACTATGGTAAGGAAAATTCATGGATGACCTATAAACTGCTGTGGTAAGAAAGGGGTGTGTGTGTGTAATTGGTAGAGCAGCTTAAGAATCATGCTTAAAAAACAAACAACTTTTAAGCACATAGTTATTCTGTCCCAGGCAATCAGAGTATGTCATATGGGCAAATGTCAAATTCTTTAACAAAGGCTGGGGTTTGAAGCATATCAGGCAGCATTGCTGACGTCATGGAATCATGTAGGTAAGTACACAGAGCTACATTTCAAAGGTGGGAGGGACCTTCCCCCTCGGAGAGGCTGAGGAGGACGTGAGCGAACTGTTCCCAGGTGTGCGGGTCATCAGCTGTGCTTCCTCCGGGGGAACAGAGGAGCACTTCTGTGTGTGAGGGCTGGTGAACAGAGTCACACTTGGTCTCTTCAGTCTAACTCATGCAAAACGTGGATGGAGTTGGGAAGTAACATTTACAGAAGTTGTTAGTATTCAATTAAGGAAATGTTTTGTTACCTAGCTTGACCTGGAAAAGTAACATTCTGATTAAATATTAATTGAAGAGCCATAAATCCAAATGTAGCAGACAAATCTGACTGAAGGATGAAGAGGCTTGGTCTTTCCATGCCAGGTACTGTGTTAGGTAGTTTCCATACACTGTCTAATGTAACTTTCTCAGCTGCCCCATGAGCTGTTTTATTATCCTCATTTTGTCAGGGAGTATTGAACCAAAGTTGTCCTCTTTTTTGATTTTCAGAATGTACCTTTAGGTACTGGTATGCTTTAGAGTCACACCTCTCTATTACCATTATTTTAGAAGTGTCAGTTAATAGAGTTTTTTAGTTTTGATAATATAAGGGACAAATCAATATTTGCTGTATTCCATGACATATTATTGTGATTTTTTTTCTTCTAGCATCTCTGAGATTAAAAAAGGTCATGTTATTGCCTCTGCAGGGACTGATGCTGAGTCCATGAATAAACATGGCAATGAAATAGATTTTTAAAGGGAACTTTATTATTAAAATGAGAGTTTTATCATTGAGTTTATATTCTGTTTTACAGGATATAGGACATATGCAGCAGACATTTCTACTTTTATACTCTTGGGAATTGGAAAGAATAGACATGGGGAAGACTGTAAGAGTAATCTTTGAGATCTTTGAAAAGTATAAAGTAGAAAAATCACAGTGTAGGTAAATCTCTTTAAAATCAGTGCACCTAGTTTCCCAAGTTTTTCTTCAATGGAATCAATATTTCTTTTTTCTTACTACTCCTCCTGAGAGGGACCCAGTGCCTCCTAGCCAGTGGTGGATACGCTTCTCAAGGTTGGAAGGTCATGTTTATCTAAGAAGTCAAATGCCTGGCTGCTCATCTGAGGACCCATTCCTCTACAAACTGATGTGAAAAATCGTAGGGAAAGAGAGATCTTCATTTTATGAGATTAGCTTTTTAAGATTGAAAACCACTATTTGAGTTTCTAAGCACAGTTATACTAAAAACTTAGTACAAATGTCACATCAAGGAAACTGAGTTGAATTTGAATTTATCTTATGTTACCCAGCTTTCTTAGTGCTGCAATGGTTGGTGCTGCTATTTTTGTTAAAAGTTAAAATACTAGTGATTACAAGTCCTAGAAAGAGAAGATCTTCAGCAAAGTAGCTGAGTGAATATTATAAAATAGGATGCAGATCACAATTAATGGAAAGGTGATACTTTCTTCCTCAGAGCCAAACAGTAACCAGGTTGCCCATAGTTTAGGGGTTTCACTTGTCTGGGGCTTACTTAGAGCTCCTCTGGGGAAGGCAAACACTCACATGATTACATAGGAGGAAAAACTCTGAAAAGAAAATACATTTTAAGTTTCAAAATATGTTGATTTTCATCTTTGTAAGATATCTGCATGTGTCTATTGAGAAAGTGGCGGTGGCTGCAATTGATAATTCAGTCAGAACCTGCTTCGCTCAGGTTAATTCAGTTAAAGCTCTTGAGCTTTAACAAAGTTACATGAATAATCAAGTAAGTCTTGAAGAGAGATATTTATTTTGGAGTGGGTACATGTGCTAAAAATTTCTAATGAAAATAGTAGACACACTGGGTAAATAAATCATTAGTTTGAGAATGTTTGCAGAGTTCACTTAATCTAATAGTTGATGGATGCTATAAAGCACATTCACATAAACCAGGACACAAAAAAATGTCTGCTAGCTGGGGTTGTGAGTTTATTATCTGATTCACCCAAGTGACGTTTCAAAAAGGGCAATCTTATCTTTTGTTAAAACAGAGTAGAGAGAACACTAATAGGAAGGGAATTCTTTTACTCACAAATTGCAGCTGGCAGAGACAGCTGGGCAGTTATATTTTGTTTACCCTTAAGTTCTCATACTTGGGACAGCTAATTCTTCGAAGATTGAAGTATCTGTGAAGCAAAACTGAAGTTTTGTCCTTAAGTTTTCAGAATGAGTAACATTTTGGATGTGTGTCATACTGGTGGAATGTTATTGAAAAAGTTTCTTAGGAGTTTGGGGCACTGATGGGGGAATGGTTTATTAGCTGCCTTAATATTTTCATGGATTACTTTTTTCCATTCCTTTTGGTCCCCAAACCCCTAAAGTACTGTGGAAAGGGATTCAGATGAAAGTGCTTTGTAGATAAGTGCCTAAGAGGCTTTTGAAAAGTGGATTCACTTGGGCATATTGTGTTTGCCTCTGTGTAACATCCATGGGTGTTGAGGGAGAGCAATGAGTGTGCCTGGATAAAAGCCACTGGCTTCTTACTAACTGACAGTTTTACTTTTCTTTAGGTGTTTTCAAATACCCCCTTTAGAAAAATAAAGTTCATTTCCCAGAAGTAGAAATCTAAGGAATTTGGCTCCTCCAAAGGAGAGAAATACAGAAAAGAAGCAGAACTGTACATTCTAGATTCTGAGTCAAATACTTTAACTTTGCAACTGAATTGTTTATTTCTAGGGCAGTTTGTCTTTATATTGAGAACTGAAGCCAACTCTTGTGAGATAAGTTGAGTGCCAGTGTGGCCACTGAGAGAGGTAGATTAATACAGCCCATATTCCAGGCACGTGAGGGAAGGCACGTTGGAGTGTCTGAGTTCAAAGCAGACAGAAAGAATGAAGTCTAATAGTGACAGTTTTTATTCAAAAAGAAAATTCAGTGTACCTACAAGAGAGTAGAAAAAATTGTGCACTGAAACAAAGGAAGAAAGGAGCTGATGTCTGAAAAGTGAGCCAAGACAGGGCAGGTGGGAAGATCGCAGGACCAGTGTGGGAACACCGCAGAACAGGACAACTACATGACACCGAAGAGATCCCTCAGCTCTTTAGAAAATCTGTGAATAGACAGATAGAATAATGCTCACAAGGAAACAAAGCATATTTAAGCATTAGGTCTTCAAGTAGAGTGAGATTAACATGGTTTAACTTTCTGTTGGCAGCAATTAAAACTGCATGATACATATACACACATCCAAAATGAAATTTCTGAGGAAAATTACATTGGATTCACTCAGTCTTTGATTATCTAAATAGATTTCTCACAATGAACTACATGCACACACATGTGCATGTATACACACATATATATACATATAAACAAATATATACACAAATTAGAAGATCAGGGCTGAACATTAAGGGGACAGGGGTGTTACATAGTGTGTCATTTGCTAATGTCTATGGCAAAAATATTAGGTTGACTTTTCCTGACCATTTATTGAGCATCAAGTGAATAAGAATTGGCTAGAAAGAAGACTACTTGTCTTTTTTGAGTGGGGCATCTATTGTGTATCATTATTACCATATCAGCTTTATTGTCTTTTATCCAGTCATTCGAGCTAAAGTTAAAGAGGTAAAGACGCAGTGCCATGATGTGACCGCAGTAGTGGAGGTGAAGGAGATTCTAAAGGCTTCTCTGGTGAGCATCCCGCGGGGCACTGCTGACCTCCACGCCGGCTCTGGCTGCCTGTGCCCCCCCCTTAACGTTCACGAGGAATATATCATCATGGGCTATGAAGACGAGGAGCGCTCCAGGTGATTCACTCCTTGAGGGCTCAGAAACCTTTCTACGTCTACTCTATCCTTACTACCATTTCTTAGAGATCTTACTCTGGGGTTCCTACCTTGGGATCTGTATGCATTCTAAGGGATTACAGATAGGTTTTTAATTGGGTCCCTCAATTTCATGTATTGGATAGAAAAGTGTAAGTGTGCATTTTTGTGGGTGTGCATTTTCTGGGGAAAGGGATCATAACTTCATTTATTCATTAAGGGGTCCATGATTCCCAGAGAGTTAAGAATTATTGCTGTAAAACTTGGCTGTCCTTATTCTAGACTAAGCAGTACTTTTTGGAAATGATTCCTTGTATTTTTCACTAATATGTTTTAATTTTTGAAAAATGGTTGCTTCCTTAAAAAATACAGATTACTGTTGGTGGAAGGTTCTATTGCTGAGAAATGGAAGGATCGACTTGGTAAAAAAGTTAAGGTAAGCCTATACTTTATGTTCAATAAAGTACACACAGAAGGGAAAAGTAGAAAAGCAACTATTGTCACTTAAATAAAATAGCTGCCCTCAACTACATGAGAAGTAGTAAAACCTGAGATATATGTGTATATCTATCTATATCTATATCTACATCTATATCTATATCTATATCTATATCATCTATATCTATATCTTTTAAATTCCAAGTACTGAGTTTGTCTTTAATACCCATTCCACCTAAGGAGTGAATTCCCTGTATGGGTGTCAGTTATCTAACCACAGTTGCCTAGCTTCTCATAACACTGGTAGGATGTCTCCACATTATCCTTAGGACTCCAGGCTCCTGCCAGCTCTGTTGGTTTTAAGGGTATTGCTTTCATACTCATGTTTATCTGGAGGTCACAAAATAGCTGCCCCACCCTCAGCATCACACCTACATTTCAGGGAGAAAGAAAAGGGAGGGAAAAGGGGGCTTCCCAAGGTCCCATGTAGCAACTTTTACTCAGGACTAGGTCTCATATCTATCCCTAGTTCCAACAGAGGCTGGGAAATTTAGATTTTTTAGCTGAGCATACAGTTTCCTTGAACAAATTGCAGTCTGTGAGTCAAAGAAAAAGGGGAAAATGAAGGATGAGTAGGAAACTACCAATGTTGTCTCAATGCATAGACACCAATTTCCATGGGCAAAGTGCAGCCAGATTCATGTATGTGAGATCTGACCAAATTAGGTCTTCAGAGCAGTAAGTAGCTTTGTTTTTAAGTCAGTGCCTCTTTGATTCTGTAAGTGATGCATTTTAAAAACTAACAGTAAATTACCTTATTATAGAAGGTGTAATTTCTTCTTACTGTTCTAAGCAAATCAGTTTGAAAGAAAGGAATGTGGGGATGTATGTGTGGCGGGGCAAAGAATTGAAAAGTGTGTGTGCATTTGGGTGTCAGGGATGGGGGAGGAGGGTGGCAGGAGGGGAGAGTGGGAATTGTACCAAACATAATACATTCTCTTCCTCCTGTGAGTTTGAAGGCTTGGGAAACAATGGGGAAAGTTAAACAACACTGGGCAGTCTATCTTACACATCTAGCACTTGACACAGCAGACACATTTGAGTTCAAGTGACCTACAAAAGTGTAGGGGGCATTATTTTGCAGGGAGAGAACGCCCTCCATAAAGCTTTTTTTTCTCCCAATACATTTGTCAAAAGTGAGATGTATTTCAAGTTCAGACTTGTGGAAATTCTGCTTGTATCTCTTCAATTTCTTTGGTGTTTTTAAGAAGTGGCTCTTCTTCAGTATGTTGAAATCTCTTACTGTCCTTTTAATTTGGTTTTCTACTTGCTAAATGCAAAACGGGAATTTGTCCAAAATTTCTGTACCAACTGGGAGAACGTTCACCACCCCTGATGCAAAGCATGTAACAAGGCTTGCTGCCTTTTTTGGGACCAAAACAGTCATGCGAAGAGCCAGATACATGGCTTGTTTGGCCTGTTCCTTAGGAAGGCAAACGTATTTTCCATTGCTTCCTACAGGGGACTCACAGAGTATTGTTGGGAAACCATTTATGTTCTCGGTCTGGATCTAAACATGCTAACAGGAAGAATTAAACCAATAACTTGAACAAACACAATTTTTATTTCCCATGCAGATACTCAGGGCTAAAAACTTTGGGTAGAATATCTTTTTTGTCTAGAATCATTGAGATCCTCACTTTAGTTTCCCAGTCAGTTTGAGGATGGAAAGAGTTTTATGTAAGGGGGACACTGTTTTGTTTTGTTTTGTTTCCCTGAATCAGAGTTTCTCCTTTCAGCTGCTCACAGAGACCTTTTTATGGTTTTGCCAGGCAAACTGTTGTTTACCTAAGTCTCTGTTTTAGCGGGTTGTTCAAATCAAGATATTTGGCCTGCCTTGGGCAGTTTTTAATATGAAAAACAGTAAGATAGTGGAGTAAGGTATGCTAAAATGAAGAATTACATTCAGTAATTAAAAAATGATAATTGATTATGTACTAAACACTTGATACATTTTCATCTTCCTTACTGTCTTCTGAACTATTTCTATGTTAATCTTCAGAACGATCTAAATGAAGATGCTATTATTAATTATAATGATGAAAATGAGATTTAGTAAGCTCAGGAAATGTTGCATGGTAGCTGATGGACTTAGATTTCGACAGTGGCTCCTTGCTATTTAAAGTGTGGTCCCTAGACCAGCAACACTGGCATCCCTGGGAACTTAGGTATGAAAATCTTGAGCCCCATCCCAGATCCACTGAATAAAAATCTGCAGTTTTAACAAGCTCTCCAGCTTATTTCTATATGGATTGAAATTTGAGAAGTAACTGCTGTCATCCTTACAGCCATAATGTAACTAACTTCCTTTTATTATATATTATATTACATCTGAACATTATTGGCATTGCTAATATGAAGTATTAGGAAGTTTGACTGCTTAATAAAGACATTGGTAATGTCTGCTTTGTAAAACTTAGATGAGGGCAGAACCTTGTTCTGTGTGGCACTTAGTAGATATTACTTAGAAAAATATTTTTAAGACACCCCTTCCTCCCCAAATTTTCATTGTTTTAACTTCAGATCACATAGTTTTAAGCCCTTCAAATTTTCTATGTAAATCTTCCATTTGTCGATCACCTGTGAAATGCCAGACTTGTGCATATGTTACCTCAGGAAATACCCACAGTTATCAATAGAAATTTGTGTCACCATTTACTGATGTGGAAATTTAAAGTTTAAGGTTTGATGTAAAAGCATTCCTGATCTATCCTAGGTGGCCAATTTTGTGCTTTTCAAAAATCGGAGAATTATGTTCACATAGCATCAATTTCACTGTAACCCTGGGATACGGAATTTATACTTTTGGAAAAGTAGTAAAATGCTTTTAAGAACTGACTTTGTAGTCTTAGTTGTTAGAATTATAGAAATGACCCTAGTGATTTGTGCATGTGACATGTCCATTTTCTGTTTTAAATTTCACAGCGCTGGGATGCGAAGCTACGTCATCTTGCACTCAATAAGAGTGATTCTACCCATAGTGATACCACTCAGAGTCAGAAGTCTGGCAGGAACTCTAACCCCCGGCAAGCACGCAACTAAACCCTGAGACGCTGAACATCAGTGGACTTCCTGTTATGATTTGCATTGCTGGGCTAGTAAAGGAAAATTGCACTATTGCACATCATATTCTATTTTTTACCACAAAAATCTCGTGGCAATTGATATTGCTTCTGTTTCCCTTTTGTTTTCTGCTTTTCTCCCTCACACCTGCCACCTCCTTTTTTTGTGGTCTGGGTGCAGATCCTTAAATATATTACATGTTTCCTATTCTGGTAATCATGGGAAAATGTTCTTTGCATAATAATAAATTAAACATGTTGATACCACGGCCTCTTCGCTGGAGTACATGTTAATTTACTGTTCTGCACCCAGATTGGGGATGCAAAGTTGCATGCAAAGAGAGATTTCTGGTATACACAGAAAGCTAGATATACTGTAAAACACACTTCTGTTCTCCAATTACAGCCTCATTTTTGCATGCCTTTTGGGCACTTTCCTCATGCTTAGAAAATTCTGAATGTTTATAGAGGTAAAATGGCAGTTTGAAATCAAATGCCACACAGGCAAAGCAATCAAGCACCAGGAAACATTTATGAGGAAATGATATACAAGATGAGTACCAAAATTTCTGTACCAACTGGGAGAACGTTCACCACCCCTGATGCAAAGCATGTAACAAGGCTTGCTGCCTTTTTTGGGACCAAAACAGTCATGCGAAGAGCCAGATACATGGCTTGTTTGGCCTGTTCCTTAGGAAGGCAAACGTATTTTCCATTGCTTCCTACAGGGGACTCACAGAGTATTGTTGGGAAACCATTTATGTTCTCGGTCTGGATCTAAACATGCTAACAGGAAGAATTAAACCAATAACTTGAACAAACACAATTTTTATTTCCCATGCAGATACTCAGGGCTAAAAACTTTGGGTAGAATATCTTTTTTGTCTAGAATCATTGAGATCCTCACTTTAGTTTCCCAGTCAGTTTGAGGATGGAAAGAGTTTTATGTAAGGGGGACACTGTTTTGTTTTGTTTTGTTTCCCTGAATCAGAGTTTCTCCTTTCAGCTGCTCACAGAGACCTTTTTATGGTTTTGCCAGGCAAACTGTTGTTTACCTAAGTCTCTGTTTTAGCGGGTTGTTCAAATCAAGATATTTGGCCTGCCTTGGGCAGTTTTTAATATGAAAAACAGTAAGATAGTGGAGTAAGGTATGCTAAAATGAAGAATTACATTCAGTAATTAAAAAATGATAATTGATTATGTACTAAACACTTGATACATTTTCATCTTCCTTACTGTCTTCTGAACTATTTCTATGTTAATCTTCAGAACGATCTAAATGAAGATGCTATTATTAATTATAATGATGAAAATGAGATTTAGTAAGCTCAGGAAATGTTGCATGGTAGCTGATGGACTTAGATTTCGACAGTGGCTCCTTGCTATTTAAAGTGTGGTCCCTAGACCAGCAACACTGGCATCCCTGGGAACTTAGGTATGAAAATCTTGAGCCCCATCCCAGATCCACTGAATAAAAATCTGCAGTTTTAACAAGCTCTCCAGCTTATTTCTATATGGATTGAAATTTGAGAAGTAACTGCTGTCATCCTTACAGCCATAATGTAACTAACTTCCTTTTATTATATATTATATTACATCTGAACATTATTGGCATTGCTAATATGAAGTATTAGGAAGTTTGACTGCTTAATAAAGACATTGGTAATGTCTGCTTTGTAAAACTTAGATGAGGGCAGAACCTTGTTCTGTGTGGCACTTAGTAGATATTACTTAGAAAAATATTTTTAAGACACCCCTTCCTCTCCAAATTTTCATTGTTTTAACTTCAGATCACATAGTTTTAAGCCCTTCAAATTTTCTATGTAAATCTTCCATTTGTCGATCACCTGTGAAATGCCAGACTTGTGCATATGTTACCTCAGGAAATACCCACAGTTATCAATAGAAATTTGTGTCACCATTTACTGATGTGGAAATTTAAAGTTTAAGGTTTGATGTAAAAGCATTCCTGATCTATCCTAGGTGGCCAATTTTGTGCTTTTCAAAAATCGGAGAATTATGTTCACATAGCATCAATTTCACTGTAACCCTGGGATACGGAATTTATACTTTTGGAAAAGTAGTAAAATGCTTTTAAGAACTGACTTTGTAGTCTTAGTTGTTAGAATTATAGAAATGACCCTAGTGATTTGTGCATGTGACATGTCCATTTTCTGTTTTAAATTTCACAGCGCTGGGATGCGAAGCTACGTCATCTTGCACTCAATAAGAGTGATTCTACCCATAGTGATACCACTCAGAGTCAGAAGTCTGGCAGGAACTCTAACCCCCGGCAAGCACGCAACTAAACCCTGAGACGCTGAACATCAGTGGACTTCCTGTTATGATTTGCATTGCTGGGCTAGTAAAGGAAAATTGCACTATTGCACATCATATTCTATTTTTTACCACAAAAATCTCGTGGCAATTGATATTGCTTCTGTTTCCCTTTTGTTTTCTGCTTTTCTCCCTCACACCTGCCACCTCCTTTTTTTGTGGTCTGGGTGCAGATCCTTAAATATATTACATGTTTCCTATTCTGGTAATCATGGGAAAATGTTCTTTGCATAATAATAAATTAAACATGTTGATACCACGGCCTCTTCGCTGGAGTACATGTTAATTTACTGTTCTGCACCCAGATTGGGGATGCAAAGTTGCATGCAAAGAGAGATTTCTGGTATACACAGAAAGCTAGATATACTGTAAAACACACTTCTGTTCTCCAATTACAGCCTCATTTTTGCATGCCTTTTGGGCACTTTCCTCATGCTTAGAAAATTCTGAATGTTTATAGAGGTAAAATGGCAGTTTGAAATCAAATGCCACACAGGCAAAGCAATCAAGCACCAGGAAACATTTATGAGGAAATGATATACAAGATGAGTTATTTGAAAGATTGGCAGGAAGCAAAATAAATAGTGCTAGGAGCTGGGGAGACTCTTTTGCCTGATTGAGAAGCACAACTGAAACCAGTAGCTGCTGGGGTGTTTTTCCAGTAGCATTTTTCTTTTGGCAACATGTCTGATTTGTTTATGAATATATTAATCAGCATTAGGGAAGTGAATTACAGCTAGACATCTGCTGTTATCAGCATAGGTCTGTTTACTTTGCTTCCTTTTAAAAAAACACACTGGTGTCTTTTTTTTTTTCTTCTTATTTTAAAATAAATCTTGACTTGCTGCCTTGACCAGGAAAAGAAAGGATGTATGCCTGTGCCATGAGGGTGTTATTTTTAAAAGAAATGTAGCTCCATAAAAAAATGCTATAGTTTTCAGGATGGTGAAATGTGCAAGCTGTGTGTGTTTGTGTATGAGTGTGTCTGCATACTCGTACACCCAAGATGGACTGAATTACAGGCCTAAACACTGGCCAGCACTTTATCATTTGGATTTGTGCTATTTCATGCTCCACAAAATATGCCTAATTAAAGGACTTATGGTTGTCAAGAGTGAGGTTATTTTGACTTTTGAACCAAATGCACAATCTCATACCCAAGCTGCAGTGCTATCCCCAGGGATGTTGGGGAGCAACGATGCTTTTTTTTCACCCCCTTCCTCCTGCAGGGTGCTTCAGAGCTGAAGAGCCAGCGCCAATCACTTGAAAGTCTCATTCATTTCATTTTACATGTTTGATATTAAGAGATCTAAATTTCTAAGCTATGGTATGCTGCAAACAAAAAGTCTTATGAAGCAAAACGGTGCTGTTTCCTTCTACAAGGACAAGCAGGCAAGAATGAAATTCATTCTGAACAAAAGTCTCCTAAAATAGTAAATAATACTTCATCTAAATTCACTCTGTTGAAAGCAGGAGAATGTCTGCCTTCTGACTGAGGGTCATACCCCGAGAACTTCCACAGTCCCAGGGATAGACACCCTACCTTTGCCCGCATGAGGACCACAGCGTCTCTGGGGCAGCCATCTGCCCTATGGGCCTTATTCTGTATGCCAGGACCGGCACGGCTCTTTCTAGAGGCTGCGGGTGTAGGTGCTGCGGGTGGTAGTGGAGAGCCGTGCGAGAGAACTGCCCCTCGGGATCCCTCATCCTGATACGTGGGCCTCAGCTTTAGCTTCAAGGGCTAATAACTGGAAAAGGTGCTTCCGCATCGTCCTGTTTCTCTCATGCCTTTTTCATGTTAACCGCGGGAAGAAGGGCAAGAACTGCCGGCAGGAGATTCACAGAAATTGATTGGTTTCTGAAGTCCACAAAATGTCATCAACTCTTCCAAAGCATAGTAAGAGGAATTTTAAATGATGGAATCTATGATGTACAATGAAAACCACAGATGTTTCCAGCTCCTGCAGTATATTTTTTGGGGGTCGGTGGGGGTGAGTAATAATTCGTTTCTGTGTAGAGGTCTGACAACATTTAGGCTCAGGACATACACAATTATGATATTCATAAACAAAAGAGGACTGGATCCTTAGACTTAGCGTTTTTTTTTTTGCTGCCTTCCATTGGGTGATATATTGGCAAAGCTTGATTGGGCTCATCTATATGAGGCTCTGTCAAAGTTTCTAAAGGGTGAGGTCCATGAATAAAGTACATTTGTGTTTCAGTTTGGTAGTTGAAAAATCTTCATAAATTATATAGAGGCTTCCTTTGGGAGGTAACATTTTCATAATGGTCACTTTTCTAATTAGAATGCAAAACCATTTCTACTCGGCAATTGCCATAATACAAATACATCTCATTAGTACCTCTCTACAGGCTTTTCTGACAGGTACTAACTTTCAAAACCACTAAAAATTTTAATATTTATACATCCTTGTCAGGAACCTTGAGATCTGTAAAATTAATTTTAAAATTTTTTGGAAAATTTTGTTCATGTTCAGAAATTTAATGTCCTCAAGCCACATAACAAAATGTTAGAGGCATGCTGAAGAGACTAGCAAAAATTAAAATAACAGCAAAGTTAAGCTTCTCTTTGCGGCTATTGTGGGTATTTCACTGTGTCATATAGAGGGTAATCTGATTCAGTGCCACATGCCGCACTGAGCATTTGGGGGTGGGGTGGACAAATCCCTGTCTTTCCACATCTGTTATATATTAAGGCAAACAGAAAAATTACAATCACTGTAAGTAAATAGCACTACTTACTGCCTTCTACAAGAAATGCTTTGCTCTCATTTTTCAACAAATAAATGACTAAGTATTTCAAGATTGGTGTATATTTAGACTGTAAATTCTAATATTTAAATAATATAAGCATTCAAGAAGATAGTAAAAATGAGGTAAAGCAGAGATTTCTTACATTGTTACTGAAATCCA